ACCTGCCTGTACTCTCCCAAGACAGAAAGCTGTGGTGGGCACTTTGAGGCCTCATGACTGGTTGGCCTCACCAGTTCTCGCTCAGATTCTTCATTTTGACTCATGACAGTGCTCACAATTTCTCCCTTTCTTGACCCGTTACTGTCCAACTCTCAATAAGGCCCTCATTTCCCTGTCACCCTGAGAAGGAATTGAGGGGTGCTTTTGCTCTGCCTGACATTTCTCCCCGAATCTCCCAGGACTAACAGTAGGGGAGAGATGATGTGCTGCCTCCATTGTTATGCTCCATGTTCTGCTCCTTCCTCATCATCCTTGCCCTGACTCCTGGCTCAAGCTGATAACATTCTCTATGATGAGATGACCAGCCTCAGACCAAGCACTTTAGCCTGATGGCTCTGCCCTGGTCCTCGTAGGTCTGACAATAGGGACAAGGCACTGTGCATTCCCTCTGTTCTGGGATGAGTGGTCTCCTCTATCCTCCCTCAGTGTCTTTAACTTGACTCCTACGTAACCAAATCTGAAACTCCACCTTCCACGCTGCTGTGTACTTAAGGCCACACTCTTCAGACCAAGGCCATATCTTCCTGGAATGTCAAAATTGGAAGTTAGGGACAGCCACATCTGGCCACAGTGATTCAGGATCTTCTGAGGAATAACAGCAGGGTCAGAATCCTTTTCCACTGCTTTGGAGTCAGTGGCTACCTCAATTCTCACTCAGGTTTCTAACATTGATTGGGGGATGTGGAAGTCCTTCCTCTACTAACCTGAGTCTGTCAGCCTCAAGCCAAAGCTTGCCCTTTACTGAGAAACCAGAGAGGGAAGTCAGGGTGCTACTCGTTGGCTACCCTTGTCCTCACCTTAAATCCAATGCAGGCTTGTTAGGATCTCCTTCATGAGCAGAATCAGAGCTACTGCCATGAGATCAAAGCCTTTATCTCCGTGAAGTACTAGTAGAAGCCCTAGGGAAAACAAGGGGGAAGTTCAACCAGATAGTCCTGACTATGGCCAGCCAAGGCAGAAAGAAAAATAAAGTTTTAGGAGCCCCTACTCTTCTGGGTGGATCATTCCTCATAATTCATTCAGAGTCCTCATCTTGAGAGATTTCAGAGTCTGGTATCCTCTTCCCACTAACCAGAACACACCACCCTTAGATCAGGACTCTTATATACCTGAGAGCCTTACATAAATAGAGAAATTTTAGCTTACAGCTATACCTTGGGCCTTCTAGATCTGAGAGTAGGCAGGGCCTGGTCTCTCAGTGACCCCTATATTCGGAGGCATTAGTCTCCAGAATCCTCATTGATGGGGGTTCTCATCTTCCTTTCTCTTTGACTGCTGGGAAATGTCACACAACTGCAAATTATTGAACAGGTTCCCTACTGCAAACCTTGCAGACAATGGCTCCCTGTCCCAGGTTTTGTATGAGACGGGGAAGCTGTACCACAAGCCGGGAGGCCTAGGACAAGTGGTGAATTATCAGTCAAAACAACACACTGATCTATTCTTTTGCCTCAACAGCCAGATTTAACGTATTATGTACTTTGCTTTGAGCATATTTAATTTCTATGGGAAAGGAAGTGCAGGATGATTTGTGGAGCTCCTGATCTTATCAGGTTATTTGATGTTGAATATGTAGATGATCATACTGTCAGTGAATATTATCTTTTCTTTTCTTAATTTATACTAGTCATGTATTCAGCATTATTATTGCTCTAGTTATATATTCCAAAGAAGTGCTTTGGGTACTGTGTCCTTTTAATGCTCTGATAAACAGTTTGGGCAGTGGGAGGAAAAATGAATTAAAAGACACAAAGTCTGGCTTAGGCTGAGAGGAATGGAAAAATGTGGGCTCTAGATGAATCCAGGCCAGAGATCTAGTCCCAGCTGTGTCAATTACAAGCCTATGAACTTTTAGATATTTGCAGTTTATTCATATCGAAGTGAGGCTGCTAAACCCTATCATGTAGGAATTTGGGGTGTAAGTACTGTCTATAAAAATAAGGCATACTGAATTCTAGCAGGCATACAAAGAGGAGCTGGTTCCACTCCTTCTAAAACTATATCAAACAATACAAAAGGAGGAAATCTTCCCTAACTCATTTTATGAGACCATGATCATCCTGATACCAAAACCAGGCAGAGACTCAAATAAAAAGAAACTTCAGGCTAATATCCATGATGAACATCGATGCAAAATCTTCAATAAAATACTGGCAAACAGACTGCAACAGCACATCAAGAAGCTTATCCATCACAACCAAGTAGGCTTCATCCCAGGGATGCAAGGCTGATTCAACATATGCAAATCCATAAGCATAATCCATCACATAAATGGAACCAAAGACAAAAACCACGATTATCTCAACAGATGCAGAGAAGGTCTTCAACAAAATTCAACAGCCCTTCATGCTAAAAACGCTCAATAAACTAGGTATCGATGCTGTGTATCATAAAATCATAAAAGCTATAGATGACAAACCTGCAGCCAACATCATACTGAACGGGCAAGAGCTGGAAGAATTCCCTTTGAAATCAGGCACTAGACAAGGATGCCCTCTCTCACCACTCCTATTCAATACAGTACTGGAGGTTCTAGCCAGAGCAATCAGGCAAGAAAAAGAAATAAAGAGTATTCAATTAGGAAAGGAGGAAGTCAAACTGTCCCTATTTGCAGATGACATGATTGTATATCTAGAAGAACCCATTGTCTAAGCCCAGAATCCTCTCAAACTGATAAGCAACTTCAGCAAAGTCTCAGGATACAAAATTCAATTGCAAAAATCACAAGCATTCCTATATATCAATAACAAACAGAGAGCCAAATCAAGAGCAAACTCCCTTTCACAATAGCTACAAAGAGAATAAAAATACCTAGGAATACAACTAACAAAGGAAGTCAAGGACCTCTTCAAGGAGAACTACAAACCACCGCTCAATGAAATAACAGAGGACACAAACGATGGAAAAACATTCCATGCTCATGGTTGGGAATAATTAATATTGTGAAAATGGCCATACTACCCAAAGTAATCTATAGATTCAGCGCTATCCCCATCAAGCTACCAATGACCTTCTTCACAGAACTAGAAAAAAACACTTTAAACTTCATATGGAATCACAAGAGAGCCTGCATAGCCAAGACAGTCCTAAGTAAAAAGAACAAAGCTGGAGGCATCACACTGCTGGACTTCAAATTATACTACAAGGCTACAGTAATCAAAACAGCATGGTACTGGTACCAAAACAGACATGGACCAATGGAACAGAACAGAGGCCCCAGAAGCAACACCACACATCTACCATCATCTGATCTTTGACAAACCCGATAAAAACAAGAAATGGGGAAAGAACTCCATGTTTATTAAATGGCGTTGGGAAAACTGGCTAGCAATGTGCAGAAAGCAGACACCAGACCCCTTCCTGTCACCTTACACTAAAATTAACTCCAGATGGATTCAGATTTAAACATAAACCTAATACCATAAAAACACTAGAAGAAAATGTAGGCAGAACCATCCAGGACATAGGCATAGGCAAGGACTTCATGACTACAACAACAAAAGCAATGGCAACAAAAGCCAATATAGACAATAGGATCTAATTAAAATTCAGAGCTTCTGTACAGCAAAAGAAACCATCATTAGAGCAAACCAGCAACCAACAGAATGGGAAAAAATTTTGCAATCTACCCACTGGACAAAGGGGTGATATCCAGGATCTACAAAGAACTAAAACAGATATATAAGAAAAAAAAAAAAAAAACAACCCCAAAGTGGGTGAAGGATATGCACAGATACTTTTCAAAAGAAGACACATATGAGGCCAACAAACATAGGAAAAATGCTCATCATCACTCATCATTAGACAAACTCAAATCAAAACCACATTGAGATAACATTTCATGCCAGTTAGAATGGCAATCATTAAAAAGTCTGGAGACAAACAGATGCTGGAGAGGATGTGGAGCAATAGGAACACTCCTACACAGTTGGTGGGAGTGTAAATTAGTTCAGCCATTGTGGAACACAGTGTGGCGATTTCTCAAGGATCTAGAAATAGAAATTCCATTTGACCCAGCAATCCCATTACTGGGTATATACCCAAAGAACTATAAATCATTCTACTATAAAGACAGTGCACACGTATGTTCATTGCTGCCCTGTGTACAATAGCAAAGACCTGGAACCAACCCAGATGCCCATCAACGATAGGCTGGGCAAAGAAAATGTGGTACGTATACACTGTGAAATACTGCACAGCCGTAAAAAATGATGAGTTGGTGTCCTTTGTAGGGACCTGGATGAGTCTGGAAGCCATCATTCTCAGCAGACTGAAACAAGAACAGAAAACCAAACACCGCATGTTCTCACTCATAGGTGGGCGTTGAATAAGGAGAACATGTGGACTCAGGGAGAGGACCATCACACACTGGGGACAGTTGAGGGGGGTTAGGGGAGGGTGGGGGGATAGCATGGGGAGAAATGGCAGCTATAGTATGCACCTAAAGTAAAATAAAATTATAAAAATGAAAAAATAAGGCATACTAAGTAGGAAATACTGAGTAATGAATGGCAGTTACCATAATATGGGTTTTTACACAATATTATTAATTTTTAATTTTCCTAATGATATATTAAGAAACACAATTACCACATCTCGAAGATATCTGAACAATAAAAGCCTATGGAAAGTTTTTAAATTTAGCAGCCTTGTTTCAAAAAGGATTTTAGTGAGCTCATTCTGGCTTATATTGATCACTGCATTTCATATGATTTTTTTAAACCAGAAAACACCACTCTCCAATCAGAGGAGTTTTTTTGATGTAGTCAATAACAGAATATGAAGTACACTAGAATAAACAAACTAACAGCAGTTTTTAATAACCTAAATAAATCCAACCATCCTTTATTTATATTAAGAAAAGGAATAAGGCAAACCCCAAGAATTAGGCAACTTTACATTTCCGTTTTACTTTGTTTTCTCATTATATTACGGTGTCAACTAGTTTACTGTGGAGTTCTTTAAGATTCATATCAAAATCCCTTCTCTGTTACCATGTTATCTAGTTCTGAATTATAGAGAAAATATGAACGGTGTATGATTTTGTTTTATTAATACCAAAACCGTAACTTCCAAATTGCTTAAACAGCTATGAATGTGAGAGCTATGTTACTGATACGTTTATAGTATGAAGCAAAATAAACCTTCACTTAACAGGAACAATCTTGAATATTAATAGTAAAAGCAAAACATAAATCTGTGTTACTCATGTGTAACAGGACAAAAGAAAGATACACATCTTTTCCCTCCAGCCTCTACTATACTGCACTATTTAGAAAGCTCACTACTCTCTTCTTCTAGCATACGGCAAAAATTCTAATTCAGACTTCCCTAGAAGTGGATCTGTAGGATGTACTCCCATAAGGTTCCCTGGCCAAGAGAACAGTGCCAGCCCTGCCTTTAAGCTCTCAGTCTCAATGCTCTCTGTGCCTCATCTATCAAAGCCTCTTCATACAGATGTGGGTAGAAACCGGGGACAGTATTATTGATATTGGCCAAAGCTCTCAGGACGCTCATCTTACTGGTTTCAGCATGGGCTCGTGGACCCCACAGGAACCCATAGCATGGAGGATCACCGTCGCACACCTGCCAGTACTCCAGGTACTTATCTTGCACCAAATCTTCCATAATGATCTTCCGGGGCTCCCCATAGATTGAGTGCACGACTCCGTCATAGATCCCCAAAACACTCAGGAAGTCCCAGACCTCCTTTTCAATGGCACAGTTCCCTCTTATGAAAATGAAACTCAGGAGAGACATCAGGATACCCGACTTCGCCAGCCCATTAACACCACTCAGAATTCCTTCACTGGAGAGGCCCAGCATGCTGACAAGGGTGTAGGATTCGCCGCTGGAATCCATTTCTTTCAATTCAACGCCAAAAACCACTGCCAAATGGTTGGAGGTTTTCTTGAGGATCTCGGGCAAGTACACCTTGTACTTTCTGTTAATACGCTTCAGCATGTCGGCCTTCAAAATGATCTCTTTCTTCTCAAACTTCTCCTGTAGGAACTGCACCAACACTCTAGCCTTCCTGTTTAGAGGATCTCGATCTGTGGTCTTAAAGAAGGCAGCTCTATGGGAGGCGATTGCACTTTCCTCATCTTCACTCAAGCCAGGCATATCAAATTTCCAGCATGAAATGCCTGCATCAGAGAGCCAGTGGATGAAACTCCCTGAGCCCCCTGAGGAGCAGAGGCATTAGGGGAGGTGCTTGCATTTTTCTCATCTTGACCCTTGGCAGCCACATCAGATTTTGAGCATGAAGCACCTGCATCAAGAGAGCCAGTGGGTGAAGCTCTCTGAGACTCCTGAGGAACGGAGGCATTAGGGGAGGTGCTTGCATTTTTCTCATCTTGACCCTTGGCAGCCACATCAGATTTTGAGCATGAAGCACCTGCATCAAGAGAGCCAGCGGGTGAAGCTCTCTGAGACTCCTGAGGAACGGAGGCATTTGGGGAGGTGCTTGCATTTTTCTCATCTTGACCCTTGGCAGCCACATCAGATTTTGAGCATGAAACACCTGCATCAGGAGAGCCAGTGGGTGAAGCTCCCTGAGACTCCTGAGGAAAGGAGGCATCAGAAGACTTAGGATGAGCACCCCGATAATCAGGAGAAGAGACAGTGGAAGAATGGGGCTCTTCTTGCTTTTCCGCAGTGGTCTGGGGACCTGTGAGACCCTGAGGCTGACCATGGGTCTCTCGGCGTTTGTCACGGGCACGGTGCTTACTCTTCTGACCCCGAGGCATGATGGTTTTGGCCTGTGACAGCAGGTAGGAGTGTGGGCAGGAAGGCTGGCACCTGGACGGGAGAGAATGGCATCACATCGACACCTTCACCAGAGAGCAAGCGTCTTGGCTTTAACCAGGGCCCCTTCTACAGGTTTTTGAGAAACAACTGCTCTAGGAACTCACAGGACTCCTATTCTCCTGGTAAGTTTGTGCCCTTCGAACTCAGGAGGAAGTTAAGAGTGAGTATTAGACGGTAGCATGACAGCCCATTTTGGGGCTTACTGAGGTGACAGCAGGGGCTGGCAATGGGGGCCCCTCTGTTCAGGGGTCTGATCCTCTCTATGTATATTCAGGATCATCATAAAAATTGACAAGACCCAGAGGCCCATTCTCCTCTGCAGCTCTAACATTGACACTAGTAATTTTTACAATACTAATGAGGAGGAAATAAAGAAGCACTTCTGCCCAACACTTCATTCCAAGGACACCCAGACTGCCTATGGCCAACAACAGTGGGAGCATTTGAATTCTCTTGCTGTTTTAGTGAGAATTGTCCCCATGGTAATCAGACTCCTCGCCCTCACTCTTCCCACAACCTGGAAATCACCCTCGCTGACCGGCTGCCATCTCCTTACGTCCAGGTCCGTACTTCTCTGACGCTCACGGGAACAAAGTGAGAATGCACTTCAGTCTCTAGAGACCTGCCGGGACCCCATACTGACGTCAGCAGCAGACTTCGGTGTCCCCCCGTTCTGGGGCATGGAGTCCCCTCAATCTTAAGGAGGATTCTCTTTTGACTATGGAGTGCCTAAGATTTCTCTCCCTCCTGACCTGAGTCCACCAGCCTAGGACCGAGGCCTTCATGCTCTTCAACCCGACGGAAAAAGTGAATGCACTTTGGGCCTAGCGGCCATGCTTGCGGACTCCTCAGAGACCGGCTAGGGGCGAGATGTGGCAGGGCTCTCTAGAGTCGCCTTTTACTAGGGAGAACGGATTTGCAGTTGTCGGGCAATGTCTCCCAGTTCTAGGTCAGGATACTCACTAAACAGATGATGTCTAGTATGCCTCTTTCTGCAGACCTGACGCCTCACTTTTCAGGCCAAGCCTCGGACCCGGCAGCCTTTCTAAGCGGAAGTCAGGGGGGGACTACTTCCGGCCATGCCCCCCTTACCTTCCCAGCATAACAGCAGGGGCGGGGCTCTGCCATTTTCCGTGTGTTCTGTGAGTGTGGTAGCTCCCAGAAAATTCACATAAAATTCTTTCTGGGTTTCTTAGTGGACCCTTGGACATCTCTGTCTGCTGGGCTTAATCAGTCAACAGGAGATCAAGGATCTCATTCCCTGAGAGTCCAGAGTAGGAAGTAAGGTGGAGCCTGAACCCGGAAGCCATGCCGGGACCCTCCAAGACTGACAGTTGGGGTGGGGCTCCATGGGATCCCTTCTAGTACTCAGCAACCACAATGATCAATAGTTATAGTAAGAAGATTGATTGGATAAAGATTTATTTATTTGTTGGCTTGTTGGCAAGACCACTCTAAAGGCAACACTGCGTACTTCAATTAAGAGATACACAATGTGTATTATCACATTGTGGTCATGTTGGCGGTCATTGACGATTACCGCTTTTATCAGCTAACCCATTAGGGGCTGCAGAATGGTTATTCTGTCTAAAATAGTTCTATACTTAGAACCTTTTTCTTTTCTGCCATTTGTTTTCCTGATGTAATGGTAAATATATTTATAGTGTTCTCTTATAATCTTTAAAACTCTTCTGTACATAAATTTTGTAGTTTTATTTAATATCACTTATTCCATTTTTTCATAATAACACAAAATTTTTTATATAAATGTAATAAATGTTATTCAAATGTCATACTATATAAACTGTTTTATAAATATTTTGAATAAACTGGCTTTCATTAGTTGACTGTACTGTTTCTTAATTCATTATTTCTGCATTTATCATCAATATTTTCTACCTTTTACTTATTTGGGCATAATATGCCATTGTTTCTGCAGCCTTTAAATCATTTGTAGGTTTTACCTTTTTTGATAAATATATTTAAAGTTATAATATTCTTTTCAGTACCACTTGGATTTTTCTCATAGTAGTACTATCGCACTTTATGTGTAGTGTTCAAAGATTGTAAAAGTTCAAGAAATCTCTCCATTATGCTCTTAGAATTTTTGAATAAATATAAAATATGTATGTATATTACATACTTTACATTTATATATAATATACATATTTATAATACAGAATTTGAACACAAACATGTACATACATGCATGCACACATACACATTTATGTGTAACAGCGTTTTTTTCTAGAAGTGAAATGACAGTTTCTCATGAATAAATTAATCAATATAATTGGCCAACTCTAACAGTCAAAGATTATCCAGGAAACAGAAACCACTCTAAATGCAGGAAATAGGTTACCGGAGAAGTCAGCCAATAACAGTGGAACAAACAATACCTATCAACTCAAGGAAGACACTCCTACCTCTAAGCTGGAGGAAGAAAGAGAAAGTACATTATTACTGAAGTGTAGAAGTTGTACTCAACAGGATCGGAAATCATGGCTGACCAATAATGAAGGAAATTATAGCTGTGGAGAAGATGTATCCATTGAAGAAGCCACCTGCTGCAGAGTGAAAGAAGGTAAAAAACTTTGGGCACTTCCAGTCTCCTGAGCTCTCATCTCCAACTTTTCCACTTTTTGGTTGAACTGAGCTGACATGCAGGTGTTGAAGAGCACAGAGAATAAGAAATGGGAGTCAGACATTTTATAATGGAGAGTAAAGAAGGGGAGGCTTAAGGAATGGACCTCAGGCAAGAAGGTCCAAGGATGGACATAAATCACAGCCAGCATAGATGAGAAAAATTATATATAAACCAATACAGAATAATGTTTTAAACTAACATTCATTCATGCTTAAAAAATACATATGCCCAGTCTGGTAAAGAATATATACAAAACAACAACAGTAAACATCATATGTAATTTGAAAATATTGAAAGGTTTTACTTTAAAATTAGAAAATAGAAAAGAATGCCTGATGTCATCATTTCTGTTTAACTTTTTAATCAAGATACTACATAGTTCTATAATAGAAATTGGAAAAATAAAAGGGATAGAGATCAGAAAATTAAAAGGACAATTACAATCATTAATAGATTATTATAAAGTATGTGTGTGAATACTAATGAAAAACTATCAATAAAAGTATTTTTTTAAAGTTGGTGCACATAAGGGCAAAATATAAACGTGTATTTTGTTTCTGTAGCAACAATATGAAAATGAAATTAATCAAAATATAACTTATAATCAAAATAGTAATGCCTATTTATATGACTATATGTAATCTGTACTTACACAGCTATTATTTATATAAATAAATAAAAAGTATGTACACAGAGAATGGTTATACATTTATGTAAAGAAAAATTCAATATTATAAATGTTCATTCTCTGCAAATAGAATCTACAGTGTATGATTCTCTCAAAGAAACTCAATAGATTTTTGTGTATGAAAATTAACAGGCTGATTCTAAACTTAAATTGACTTGCAAATGGCTAAAATATAAGAGGACTTACTTTCCTAGATGTTAAGAATTTTTTTAAAAACTATAGTAATTGTATGGATTTTATTCCTCATTTGGTTAATATGGTATGTCACATTTATTGATTCATGTATGTTGAACCATTCTTGCATCCCTGGAGTAAATTCCACTTGACCATAGTGAATGATCTTTTCTGTTGAATTAGGTTTGCTAGTATTTGGTTAAGGATTTTTGCATCTGTGTTCATCAGGAATACTGGTCTGTAGTTTTCTTTTCTTCTATTGTTCTTACCTGGCTTTGGTACTAGGGCAAATGCCAGCCTCATAAAACAAGTTGTAAGTGTTTCCTCCTCTTCAGTTTTTGGGAAGAAATTGAGAAAGATTGCTATTACTTCTTTAAATGTTTGGTAGAATTCAGCAGTGAAACCATCAGGTCTTGAGCTTTTTCTGAAGACATACTTTTAAATTACTGATTCAATCTCCTCACTTGTTACTGTTTAGTTCATATTTTCTACCTTTTCCTGATTCAGTCTTGATAGATTGGATGTTTCTAGAAATGCATTTATTTGTTTTATTCAATTTGTTGGTGTGTAATAATAATCTCTTATGATACTTTTTGTACTTCTGTGGTGTCAGATATAATGTCTCATGTTTCATTTCTGATTTTGTTTATTTGAATTTTTTTAGTATCATCAATATTTAAATGAATGCTTGGCCAACACATGAGAAACAATTGCATTATTCAATACAATCAGAACATCTGAACCACCACAGAAATGAAATAGTCAGCTCACAGAGTGAGATCTGAGAGAAAACAATAGAGATGATCTAATCATGATTCACTATTGCCCACACACACCCCATGTGTAAACCAATTCCAGCGTAAACACCTAGTGGGTGTAAGACAGAGTGAAGTTTTTAAAATTAAGTTTTTAAAACAAGTAAGATTGGTAGAGAAAGTAAAAAGAAAATAAAGGGACAGGGAGGGATGAATGGAAGAAAGAAGGAAGGATATGGGAAGGTAGGAGGGAGAAAGGAAAAGAAAAAGTAAGAAAGGGGAATGAATGAGTGTGAATTAATGAATTTAAGTCATAGCATTTTTCTAGACCACAGTGAGGATTTATTCTACTTCTGTCTAAATTGGGGCTTTTGTCCCACCTTAATGCCTCTCCACTACCCATGCTAAACAACTTCCTTTTCTGAATTATTCAGAAGTAAATAAGAATGTGTTTCCAAATTTACCAGCTATACAAAATATATAGGTAAACTATGTTCAGAGGGAGACAATGTGGAAGGCAGCAGTATAGCAGAATAGAAAACTGACACGATTAGAACCATGAGCGTTTTTCTTTCAGCAATTGTTTTAGATCTATTCTCTATCCACTGAAAATTATGCATATATCAGTTTCCAACTAATCTCTGCTTTCTAGGAAAAAAAATCAATTATAATGTCATGCTACTACACCCGATGGCCTTGTCATCTCTTTGTCATAGTAAATAAGCACTAAACTTAAAGCAAAATTAAAATTAAATATCAGATACATCTTCCTTTAGGAGAGAAGGCCAGGAGACTTGGGCACAATCCTCATTTTGCCATTTGTTTCATTTTATTTTTCTTGTTCTTATACTTGCATGAATATGTTACTATAATAATATAGTCACTCAACATTTGTAATATATTTTGAAGTCAATCAGTTTCATCAAATCTCTGTGGCCATTTAAGTAGTTTAACTTTATCCAAGTTAATACCCTCCTAATTGAAGAAACTTGGCCTCAGAGTGCACGCTGCATTGACATCCCA